GGTACAATGACATATCTTGACATCTTCTTGATCAACTCGCTGATGATGTCTTCAGTAAACGGCTTATGCCTTGACTTTGAGCACTGAATGGCTTGGCGGATCTCCAGCCATTCACTGTAGCCATACTGACCAAGGTAGGAAGGGTACTCCGTGACAACATGAAGATTGTCTTTGGTGATGAGCATTGAGACCAGAACTCCACCGTATTTCATTCGTCCGCTGATGGTGACGTTTGAAATAGGGTGAGGACTGATTCTCTTGTGTAGACGTTCTTCGGTCCATTTTCTGTCTCGGTCAACCAACTTCATCGCTTTCTTGTGCTCAACTTCTGCAATAAAAAGTAGCTTAGCCTAGGCCTTGACAACATTCACTAGCTTTTTAGACTTCTTCTTTGGAAGAAATTTAGCAGCAAGAGACTTGGCCAGCTTTAAGCTGGCCAAGTCAAAAGAGAAGGAGACCTCAAAAAAGAACCACAACACCAAGTCGAAAGACAAGGATATTGCTGAAGAAGGAAACCTCAAGGTATGTTTACAACCTTTTGAGCTCTTAAGTACTAAGTCGTACAACTTTACCACTATTACCTCTCTTTGTCAACTCTCCATCCCTCTATTACCTGCGGCCGGCTATAGGGATGGGTACCTGAAAACCCAACCTCCAGCGTTCCCACCGACCAGCATATGTTTCAGCAAAAAGAGTCACTCGACCAAACTAGAGTAAAAATCCCTTTTTGTACCTCTAGTTGTGGCGAGTTTGACTTCCTTTCTGAAGCTGAAAGACTCAAGGCACTCAAGGTCGAGGAAGAACTCAGACTTCAACGACAACAGACTTGGCACTCAAGGCCGAGGAAGAACTCAGACTTCCTGTTGTTCTCTTCGTCCATGGTTGGGGTCTCTTCGCAAGGACCTAAAAAGGAACAAGGTTGAGCATAAGATAACTCGGGGTTAGAATAAATGAAAGGGTAGGATGGTAAAGCACCTGAGGGTTCTTCAGCACCATCTGAAGGATTGATGCTGGTTCGCTCTAGGTTTGCCTTCGAGAGGATAGGTGACCATATGCTGAGATGCCTCGAGAGGAGCAATCTCATATCATGTGGTGAGTCTTCATCATCAGGGAGGACAGACGCTGATGATTCATAAGCACGTGTCGAGACCAAGGAGGGATGAGAGGAGAAAATGGCTGAGACTGAAGGACGTGAGTATTCAGCAGTGGCGATGCTGATATTCTCATCATTAGTGATTTGGATCACTGAGGCGGTGGGGATCGAAGCCATAGGTACGACATTGATTGCAGAAATCACTGAAGAGTTTCAATAGCTGAGACCTTTTCCGAGGTCACAGCCAGAGACGTGGGTATCCCTTTTCTGACCTTCTTGGCCCTTGATGGAGAACCAAGAGTGGGTTGAGAGGAGGAAGGACATTTGGAAGAGAGGGTGGTAGTGGTTGGGATAGACTTTGGGGGTTTTCCTTAGTCTTGACCACCTGAGAAGAAGAAGAAGAAGAAGGTACAGTCGCAGATAGAGAAAATGAAGAAACAATTTGCACAACAGCAGAAAGTGCAATGTCTTCATTTCTCAGCTTGTGATCCAGAATCCTGGACCCAAGCTTGTAGATAGGAAGGTTAACTTCCTTGGAGTACTTGTCACCGAAGATCTTGGTGAACACCATTGAGAGAAACCTGGTGTATGGTACTACCTTCTCCCTCTGGCGCTTGTTCAGCTTCAGCCCCAGGTCCTCGAAGATCACAGCCGCATAGTTGATTGGGGCGCTGGCATATAATAGAAACGCCGATGTTGAGCGCGACCATGGAGGCTTAATCTTGTCCGCCAGTCTTGCCTCCCATGCACTGAATGAAGTGGGAGAACAAGTACTGCCACACCGTAGACATGCGGTTCTTCTCGATCTTCGACAGTGATTTGAGGGGTTCGCTGGAGTTTTTCTTCGTTGGCCATACGTAGCCAATATCATCGAGGCAGGCAATGATGATTTCAGTCGAAGGATCACTGACGAAGGGACCCTTGGGAAAACGAAGAGCGTGCCTTAGTGTTATAATGCTAAAGCTGACAGTCATGCGGTTGAAGGTAAAGGAGATTTTCTCCACCTGTTGACCGTGCCTGTCCGTGTCTCGAACGCATTTAGCAGTCAGCCAGAATTGCTGAAGGGCTTCCTTCACCATGACAGGTTCATGAGTAAGAGCAAAGGAGATAGGCGAGTTCTTGAGGAAGGTAGCAGCTTCCTCGTAGTAGGATTTGTTCGCAGGGATATCCAACAAGGCCACATGATTGTTTGCCTTGAAAGATACGTCTTCGATGGAGTAGTTCACGTTTTGGGCAGCCATTTTCTGTTGTAGGTAAGAAACAAGAAATAACAGTTTTGTTAGTAGTCCAAGATTAGAATGTGAGCTTTTAAGTTTTAGAACAATAAAACTTCTTTTGAAAAATCCACAAAGAAAATATTAGGGTTTTTCAAGAAGAACAGGTGTTTTGAAACTTTAGATTATAACCAAGTAARAGAATGTGTTAATAATCTTAATGTTTGTATTTTAAGAGAACAAGTTTGATATGTGTTGAGAATTTAACACATAATGCATCTGTTTTACGTATTTTTAGTTAAAATTAGTTTCCTTTTGTTCCCACTTTGAGTCATTTTGATTTATTTCTTTATACTTTTGTTATGGAGCTAAAATATTGTGGTTTAACTTGTGGGGACATAAAAATATAAGCTAACGGAGAATTTTTTGTAAAACAGCCTGATGCTACAGCATTATAGCAGCAACCACCTGTTACGAACACGGTTTGGCAAGGGCTTAACGATTAAGCTGCTGACTTTTGGATGTTGATTGGATGACAACTAGATGCCAGCTGGAAGATTTTATTAATCAGGGATTTTTGGACTAATGGATCATCTTGTGCCTAGGATTCCCTTTGTTGTTAGTTTTTGGTCATTAACTAGTGGGTTATAATTTTGTTGCTTTGTGCTAGACTTTTTTTTATAAATAGGGGAGCTTGGGCATTTGTTTAAACACATCTTATAACATATTTGCAAGATCAAAATCAGCTAGTTAGGGCTAATTTTGAGAGCATCTTTTGAGAAAATTCCAAGTTCTTGAGTTTTCAAGTTTTCTTCTTTAAATTCTCGTCTTTTATTTTCCGTTCTTTATTTTATGCTTCTTTACGTTTATTGTCATTTACATTCCGTCATTTAATTTCCGCAATTTACATTCTCGTTATTTACATTCCCGTCATTTATTTTCTCGTTATTTATTTTCTCGTTATTTACTTTACGCAATTTACGTTTATGTCTTTACTTTTCGTCATTTATTTTTTACTTTCCGTTATGAGTAGCTAAGATTTTATAGCTTGGGTGTGAGACGGAAAGGTGAGATTTTCGAACCAAACAAAAGTAGCTAAGTGTTTTCGTAAACGACGTTTCATTATTTCATTCGAGTTTCTATAAAAACCAAGCATCCTTCTTGACGGGTTGATCACTTCGAAAGTGTTAAAGTGCAATGGACTTAGAGATAAGCCATTATTAAGCACGTCAACTTGAATGACATAAGAGGCAGACTTGAGAAAGTTGCCGACAAGGAGACTTGTCATTTATGTTTTTTTCAAAACKTAACTCCCGACGGGTTGGTCACTCTTCGAAAGTGTCAAAGTGTGATAKATTCAGAGATGAACTATCAAGAACACGCCAACTCGAATGATATGGGAATCGACTCGAGAGAGTGATTTTTAACAAARARATTTGTTTATCCATATATTTTGAAAACACCATCGTGTCACTATCCCTGGTCCGGACACCACATAGAGATATGGGTGGAAAGCTATAAGATAGTGAAATGGTGAAGTCCGAGAGGAATGCCTTCAAAATAGATGGTGGAACTTAGTTTCGAAACACTGCTTGCTGTAGCATTCCTATAGCATTGGCTGCTGGAATTTGTGTTTGGGTCTTACCTTAAGTCTTACACCCTTGCTTCTTTTATATATTCTGTATTCTGTTTTGGATCACCTTAAAATCAAAGAAAAGTCTTCAAAATCGTCATCTGAAATCATCTCTTTCATTGGACTCTAATATAAGTTTGGCTACAATCTCAGTGGACGATAATCCGATACATGTACCACTTTATTCCTTGGAAAAACGATGTTGGGCCGTATTGTATACTTGCTTTGTGGCCCAATTTCATTAAGTCTAAATGTGTGAAATATAACCGACCAAGTTTTTGGCGCCGTTGCCGGGGATTGCTTTGCTAAAGTTTTATTTTGAGTAAATTAAAAGATTTGATTTTTCTAGTACCATTGGAATTGTTTTTAAAAGTGGTGTATGCCACGATCACATCGCGGGAAATTTTTCGAATTTGATCCCGACATTGAGAGAAAGTTTCACCATAGGAGGAGGGCTCAAAGAGCATTTTTTGCTCTACTCCCTTTGAACATGGCGTTACCTCCCCCAATTATTCCGGAAATACCACATTTGGAAAACCAACCGCCGGGTTTTGAACAAATTCCACCATTCCCGAACTTTCAACAAGGACATCCACATAATGGTAATGATATTAATTTGGACACAAAATCGGAACCTAATGAGCACCAAAGAGCACAAACTCCGAACATAATTAATTTGGCAAATTCCAAAAATGGGAGGATCATGGATTATGCAATTCCGGATTTTGAGCAATTGAATTCCGGGATAGTTAGACCACATATGACCGCTCTCCATTTCGAGCTTAAACCAATAATGTTTCACATGTTGGAAACGAATGGCCAATTTGCCGGATTACCTTCGGAGGACCCACATTCGCATTTAAAATCTTTTATGGAAATCACGGATGATTTCTTGATCCCGGGAGTGTCAAATGACGCTCTAAGGCTCACTTTGTTTCCATTTTCCTTGAGGGATCGTGCAAAAGCATGGTTTAACTCATTAACWCCRGGWTCTGTGCCGTCATGGAGTAACATGGCRGMAAAATTTTKRCRAAAATATTTYCCACCAACAAGGAACGCTAAGTCCAGGAATGAAATCTGTCTTTTTAGACAAATGGACGATGAGGCTGTTCCTGACGCGTGGGAAAGGTTTAAAGAGTTGTTGAGGAAATGCCCACACCATGGCATTCCGTATTGTATTCAACTTGAGACGTTTTACAATGGGTTAAATCCCATGGCAAAACAAATGCTCGATGCGACTGCGGACGGAGCCTTTACAGCTATGACCTATAACGAAGGATATGAAATCCTGGAAAAGATAACAGTAAACAATGGGCACTGGACTGACCCACGTGCTCAATCACAGAAAAAGACTGATGGGATACATGATGTAGATGCATATACTGCATTAACAGCTCAGCTGACCTCCATTACCAACATGTTGAAAAATTTAACTTTTGGTCAGGAAGAACAGCAAGTTGCTAATACACCAGTCCAAACAGTCCTATCTGTGCAATGTGTGTGCTGTGGTGGGGAACACATATATGAACACTGTCCTCACAATTCTGAATCAGTAAACTATGTTCATAACCGAGCTAATCCATATTCCAACAATTATAATGCCAGTTGGAGACAACACCCGAACTTTTCCTGGAACAGTCCAAGTTTAAATCCACCAGTCCATAAGCAACAAGGAACTTTCAATTTCCAACCACAACATCATGGAAACAGTTCCAACTCTCAGACTCACCAACAAAGTTTTCAGAATTCACAACCACCTTTTCAGAATAAACCTCCTCCACAGTCAGAATCATCTTCTTTGGAAGCAATGATTAAAGGACTATTTGCACATGCACAAGCACAAAACCAAGCTTTGATAAATCAACAAAGTGCAGCCATCAGGAATTTAGAGACTCAAGTCAGTCAACTCGCAGTTAACCAGAACAATCGAGCCCTTGGTACCTTGCCCAGTAATACAGAGGTCCCTAAAAACCTAGGTAAGGAACATGTGAAAGTAGTGACCCTTAGGAGTGGCAAGAAGTTGAAAGAAAAAGTGCCCAAAGTTAGTGCACCAATTTTGACAGAAGCTGATGCTACAACATTGGTTCCTGGAAAAGAAAGACCGGTCCTACCCTTAGAGAAACAGGCATTAGAGACCACCACTTCTGTCCCCTCTAGATCAGACTTTCCATTACTCTTTCCTGAGGATGCTCTAAAAAAGTCACAAGAAACTGAGGTTTTAGTGACCCCTAAGCTTGATGCTAACATTTCATCTGAACCTCCAAAGGGCACCACAAAGACCCAAGGCATTCAAGACCCGTCTTGCTCAACACCTCCAAGTAAGAATGTAATAAAACCAGTCCTTCCTTATGTTCCCTACCCCCAAAGGTTGAGGAATCAAAAAGAGGAACTGCACTTTAAAAAATTCTTGGATGTGTTTAAAGAATTGCACATCAACATCCCTCTTGTTGAGGCAATTGAGCAAATGTCTAGTTATGCCAAGTTTCTGAAGGACATCCAAAGCAAGAAGAAGAAGTTGACTGAATATGAGACAGTAGCCCTAACCGAAGGATGTAGTGCGCTTTTGACCAATAGCATACCCCCTAAGCTAAAAGATCCAGGGAGTTTTACCATTCCTTGTTCAATAGGAGGGAAGGAGATAGGGAAAGCCCTATGTGACTTGGGAGCTAGTATCAACCTTATGCCCTTGTCCGTTTTCAATACCCTAGGCATAGGAGAAGCTAGACCAACCACAGTCACACTCCAATTGGCCAACAAGTCCATAGCATATCCTAAGGGAAAAATTGAAGATGTTTTGGTACAAGTTGACAAGTTCATATTTTCGGCGGACTTTATCATTCTAGATTTTGAGGTAGATAAGGACATTCCTATTATCTTAGGAAGACCATTTCTAGCCACTGGAAGAACTTTGATAGACGTCCAAAAAGGAGAATTGACTATGAGACTCCAAGACCAGAAAGTAACCTTTAATGTCTTCAACTCTCTAAAGTACCCTGATTACTTGGAAGAATGTTCAAGAATATATGAGATAGAGAAAATGTGCTTTGAAGAAGGAATTTAGAAGAACTTTAAGTTGAAAGAGGAGTTTGATGAGGAAATAGAAGGAGATGTTGAGGAAATAGAGGAAGTAGGAACTGATGTTGTCCCAGTTGATGCTGCAGCATTTGAGCTGCTAGAAAATAATGAGCAAAAACACTTCACCCCGTCCATAGAATCACCACCTGATTTGGAGTTGAAACAACTCCCATCCCATCTAAAATATGCTTTTCTAGGAGAAGAAGGCAAATTGTCTGTCATTATCTCATCTACCCTAGAATTGCAACAAGAAAAGAAACTTGTGGATATGTTGAAATTGCATAAGAAAGCCTTAGGATGGACCATTGCTGACCTTAAAGGGATTAGTCCCTCTATTTGTCAACACAAGATCATCCTAGAAGATAAAAATTTCACTTCCATAGAACCTCAATGAAGGCTAAATCCTGTCATGAAAGAGGTAGTCAAAAAGGAGATTTTAAAATGGTTAGATGCCGGAATTATTTTTCCGATTGCCAGCAGTTCTTTGGTTAGTCCAGTCCAATGTGTTCCAAAGAAGGGAGGGTTCACAGTCATCACAAATGACAAAAATGAACTTATCCCTACTAGAGTTGTCTCCGGTTGGAGAATATGCATGGACTATAGGAAACTAAACATGGCTACCCAAAAAGACCATTTTCCACTACCTTTCATTGACCAAATGTTGGATAGGCTAGCCAGAAAGGAGTTTTATTGTTTCTTGGATGGTTATTTAGGGTACAATCAAATAGCCATTTCTCTGGAAGACCAAGAGAAAACCACCTTTACTTGTCCCTATGGCACCTCTGCTTTTAGAAGAATGTCATTCAGACTTTGTAATGCCCCAGCCACCTTTTAAAGGTGCATGATGTCCATCTTTTCTGATATGCTTGAAAAATCCATTGAAATATTTATGGATGATTTTTCTGTGTATGGTTCATCATTTGACAATTGTTTAAATAATTTGAAAAAGAGCTTGGAAAGGTGTGAGGAAACAGACTTGGTTCTTAACTGGGAGAAATGTCATTTCATGGTCAAAGAAGGAATT